TAAATGGCCGCTCGAGTGGACAAGCAACTTCGAATGCATTTTGCATTTTTGCTTCGGCCCTTGGAAGCTATATAGGGTGACTCGACCTCCGACATACTCAGCGAAGTGGCAAAACATGAAAGAATTAACTTCCGATACAACTCTGTAAGGCACAATTCGGGTTGAATTTGCATCTGATGGTTTGGAGACATTACCTGTTCTAAACACACCACTATAACCCGAGAACCAAAAATAAGGGGAATACAAGGGAAACTAAGATACGTAACACCGTTCAAAACCATACCAACCCGAGCCCAGAACACCACAAGAGACGGGCCAAAACCGAGATTGCTACAACCTCCATCCTTTAAAGAATTTCGTTCCTGAAATTTCAAATCAAACTATCCAAACAAAGGGGGTTTCTAGCGATCAAATCCACGCTATTTCATTTTAAAATCACAATATTAACTCTCAACCAAATTTTTTTTTTTTTTTTTGCCATTTTCCACCATGGTTATCTCATTAACAACAACCGTCCACATTAACCTAAACATGAAGCAAAGAAATGACAATCCGTAACTACTTCATGCTTAACATAACAACATACATAACAACATGTGGTCAACAATTTTAATACATTTCCCTCAAACACTAGGGAATATTACAAGGAAAAACAACTTAAGCATTTTCAAACAAATCCGGATACTTAGAGCGGACTTCCGCCTCCCATTCCCACGTCGCTTCTTCAACCCCATGGTGTCTCCACAACACCTTTACCAACGGTATAGTTTTTCCCCGTAACACTTGCTCCTGAGTATCTAATATTTGAACTGGTCGTTCTTCGTAAGAGACATCCGCATCTACCTCCAAGTCAACCCAATCAAGCACATGAGAAGGGTGGGGTTCATACTTCCTAAGCATAGCTACATGAAATACGTTGTGAACTCCCAAAAGTTATAGCGACAAAGCTAACTGATATGCCACTTCCCCAATTCGCTCTAAGATCTCAAAAGGCCCAATGAACCTTGGAGATAATTTACCACTCTTACCAAATCTCATCAAACCCCACCTTGGTGAGATTTTTAGAAATACATAGTCAACAACTTCAAAAGATAAAGGTCGTCTCCTCTTATCGGCATAACTCTTTTATTGGCTTTGGGCCGTAGCTAACCTCTTCCGAATGAGAACAACTTTCTCGGTTGTCTCTCTAATAATTTTCAGACCCAGTAATGATGCATCACCCACTTCGGCCCAACAAACCGGTGATCTACAAGGTTGGCCATACAAGGCCTCAAATGGTGCCATCCCAATACTAGCTTGGTAACTATTATTGTAAGCAAACTCAATCAATGGTAAGTGCCTTTCCCAAGGCCCCTTAAAATTAAGGACACAAGCTCTAAGCATGTCCTCCAAAATCTGAATGGTACGTTCCGACTGTCCATCGGTTTGAGGATGATAAGCGGTGCTAAGAGTCAACTTAGTTCCCAATGCCTCTTGAAGGCTTTGCCATAACCGGGCAGTAAAACGAGAATCCTTATTCGACACAACAGTCACAGGGACTCCATGAAGTCAAACTATCTCTCTAATGTACAACTCTGCCAAGCGTTCAACTGAGTCACTGGAGTACATTAGAATGAAATGAGTAGACTTAGTCAACCTATCAACAATCACCCAAACGGCATCATTGCCTCGTTGTGTTCTAAGAAGCCCAACTACAAAATCCATGGTAACACGCTCCCATTTCCACTCGGCTATTGGTAGGGGTTGTAACAAACTCGCTGGTCTTTGGTGTTCGGCCTTCACTTGTTGACAATTAAGGCACTTCGATACAAATAAAGCGACATCTCGTTTCATACCCCTCCATCAAAACTGACGACTAAGATCATGATACATTTTAGTGCCTCTCGGGTGTACCGCAAGGCATGAGTGATGGAACTCCTGAAGTACTTCCTCTCTACAAGATTCTAGTACAAACAAACGGTCTAGGTAATGTACACTCAGATCTGAGTGAACGTTCAAAACTTTCTCTTCCTTCCCATTGGAAATCTTAACACGGATTGATTCCACATCACGGTCTCCTCGTTGTGCCTCTATGACCTTACTAACCAACGTAGGTTGAGCATTCAAAGTAAACAAGGTAACACTCTCTCCAGACTCACCCAAGTGTAAATCAAACTTGCCAATAACATCTATCATATCCCATTCCCAAATGGCCACATTTGCCAAACTACTCACAAATTTTTGACTCAAAGCATCGGCCACCACATTGGCCTTCCCCGGATGATAGTGTAACTCAAAGTCATAATCCTCCATAAATTCCATCCACCTCCGTTGTCGTAAATTCAAGCCTTTTTGAGAAAACAAATACGTTAGACTCTTATGATCGGAGAAGACTTCAAACTTCTCACCGTACAAGTAATGCCTTCAAATTTTCAAAGTAAAAATCACCGCTGCTAATTCTAGATTATGGGTGGGGTAATTTTTCTCATGAGTTTTCAATTGTCGTGAACCGTAGGCCACAACTTTTCCCTCTTGCATCAAGACAGAACCAAGTCCATCCCCGGACGCATCACAATAGACAGTGTAATTCAAACCCCTTTCTGGAATTATCAAAACTGGTGCGGTAGTCAATCTAGTGTTAAGCTCTTTGAATGACTTTTCACATGCCTCACTCTACACAAATTTGATACCCTTTCTCGTCAACCTAGTCAAGGTTGCAGCTAGTCTAGAGAAGTCCCTTACAAAACGTCGATAATACCCCGCTAATCCCAAGAAACTCCAGATTTCAAAAACATTCTTTTCATTCCGTGCAAGTTTTAATGATCACAAACGACTCCAAAATACAACTCAAAATTTCACTGGATCTAACACAATGCACAGTTATACCAGAAGGATTTGCCAAGTATGTATCGGTTGCCCAGAAATATAGAATATAAAATACAGTAAAGAGAAGAGAGAGAGAGAGAGAATCAGAGAATCAGAGAATGTTGTATATTTTTTCTGAGTTAGAGTCTATTTATATAGACTCTTTGATGTTTGTTGGGAATAGACACACTCTTCCATTTTGAATTTAAATGCTATTTGAATTATAAATTGTAGGAAAAACAAAAAATAATATACAGCGGAAATAAACGGATTTAGATATACCTTTTACATTCAAACCGATCCATGGATCATGTAAGTGAATCACGTACTTCCATTGATATCTTCAAATAATTCCTAGTGAGGTAAAACTATTAGAAAACTACCTACACTATTCACAGTACAAAGGCATGGTTGTTCTCCGATGGCAGAGAGCTAGAGAGAGAAAGTCTTTTTAAGATAAAAACTATTCGGTTAAAACACATATTACGTTAAACGTAATATGTATAGATGTAAGAGATATAACCACCCACAACTCTATCTCCACATAAGATGAGATTGTGGGTTATTCATTGATTTGAAATTTAAACTAATAAGGTCACTATGTGGGTTATGAGTCATACCACCACGAGCGCCCAAATGCGAGTCTGAAACCTGACCCAATTTTCAATATAAATAAATATGACTATTTAGAAAAGAAATAAATAAATAAGTAAATATAAATAATATAATAAAATGATATAAAATAAATACAAACAAAGTTTTGAGACTTCTAAGAAATTTCCAAAAACAAAAGGCTTGGAAACTTCCCTTCCCTTCTAACCCAAGCAAAAACAAAACAAGTGGTTCTGTTAAAACGCCGAAGAAAACAAAAACAAGTTGTTCTGTTTTTGTATAATTTTATTTATACAAAAACTATCAACGAAGACTTGAAATTATACTTTTTTCAACGTATAAACCCAAACAACACGGCCAAAAAAAAAAAAAAAATGTAGAGCCTACTACAATAATAGAATTTTGATAGTTGAAACGGACCACTAAAATATTGTGATAGGAAATATTCATAAAATTTATTAATTTGTGTTGTGATGTGTCATGTATTTACTTTATACTGAAAAATGCTATAAAAGATTTTTTACAGAGGCAGATGTGGAGACGGAGTAAAAGCCCCAATAGAGATTCACTCAGGCCCTTGTGGGTGTAAAAAAATTGGGGATATATATATTATAATTTCCAAATAAAGTTTCAGAAAGTGTTATAGGAAAGAGAGTAATGAAGAGGATGAGAAGTGAATTTGGTTTTATTTTTCACCGTGAACATAAATATCCTGCTAAAGGATGTGTATCTTATATTTTTATTCTTTTATTCAAATAAACAGAAATTTCTTGTAAAATATTGTTATGGAAAAGAATAGTGAATTGACCAAAGGTGAGTGGTTGAAGGTCTTGTCAGTTTGCTTATTGTTAACATCAACGAGCACTTGAAATTAAAATTGGAGAAATTACTTATCAACTGTCCTTTCTAAAAAAAATTACAAAATCGTGAAAAATTTTACGGTTTTGATTATTATTATGTATGAAGTTTATTATTAATCTGTAATTTTTTTTTCAAATCTTACACTGAATTGAAATTCCTCCATTAAATTTTTCTCTGAAGTCTAACCCAAAAAAAAGAAGAAGAAAAAACTAATACAACTTATAATAGCCTCTTATTCATTGATGTGACACACAAAAATAGAGTTTTGGAAATTAAAATAGGACCTAAATAACTCATGTAAGTAAATATATATATATACACACATACTAGAGGTAGGTGTGCAATTTGAAAATTGAATATGATAATTATGGTAGTTATTTGAAACAATTGGATTGAATTAGAGCTAATTTATAACAATTATCATGTTTCCTAGGCATTTTTAGAAGGAAAAAAATTGTAACAATTATACCAATAGAGATGTTCGCTTTATATATTAATATATATATATATTTGTATAATATATTCGAAGTAAAAATAAGCAGAAATTTCCTGAAAAATATGGCAAGAGTGGAAAGAAATAACATGTGGCCTACATATGCTGAATAATTGGACACTCTATATATCTATACAAATATTTGTATAATATATTCAAAGTAAAAATAAGCAGAAATTTCCCGGAAAATATGGCAAGAGTGGAGAGAAAAGTAACAGTAACACGAGGCCTGCATATGCTGAATAATTGGACACTCTATATATAGTGGCCATATCTACTTCATTGATCTCAAAGCAATACAATACAATACAATATATCTCCCACCTCTTAGGTTTTGCATGACCATGAATAGATCAATGCAACCTGTTGCAATTCTTTTCTTCCTTCTTGTCTTTCTCACCATAACATCCATTCATTTTAGTTTCTGCAATGCAAACCATGATGTGGTCATGTGCATGGAGAGTGAGAGACAAGCTCTTTCTGCCTTCAAGCAAGACCTAGTAGATCCTTCAAACCGACTCTATTCTTGGGAAGTCGAAGATGATTGCTGCAAGTGGGAAGGAGTTGTTTGCAACAACTTAACTGGCCATGTCCTCGAGCTCCATCTTCAAAATCCTAATACTTTATTTGATTTTGGTTCTGAGGTTACCGCATTGAGAGGTGAAATCAATGCTTCTTTGCTAAATTTGAAGCACCTCAAGTACTTGGATCTAAGTCTGAATGATTTTGGAGGAATACCAATCCCATCCTTCATTGGATCTCTGGCAAGTCTGAGATGTCTTAACTTGTCTGCAGCTGGATTTGGAGGATCAATTCCTCATCAACTTGGAAATCTGTCGAGTTTACGTTTTCTGAGTCTTAAAAGTTCCAGTTTCGGTTTAGTTTTTGGTTTGATGGATGTTGACAAGCTTCAATGGCTTCTTGGTCTTTCCCACTTGGAACACCTTGACCTAAGCTACGTGAGCCTTTTCAAAGAACCCAACTGGCTGCAGGTAATTAACGAACTCCCTTCTTTAGTAGAGTTACATTTGTCTGGCTGTCAACTTGATTATGCCAGTCCTCATCTACTCGATGTTAATTTTACATCTCTTGTCGTCCTAGATCTTTCATTGAACTACCTTTACTCTGTAATACCCAGGTGGATCTTTAGCCTCAGTAGCCTCGTTTCTCTTGATCTACGCATGAATTTTTTTGTAGGCAGGCTTGAAGGTTTTAGAGAAAATGGATTTGAAGGTCCATTTCCTAAAGTCTTCCAGAACATGACCAGCCTTGAATTTCTTGATCTATCAAATAATGAACTTGAGGGTCCATTTCCTAAAGTCTTCCAGAACATGACCAGCCTTGAATTTCTTGATCTATCAAATAATGAACTTGAGGGTCCATTTCCTGTGTTTTTGTCCAACATGACCAGTCTTCAACATCTTGATCTATCTAGTAATAAACTAGAGGGAAGGCTACCAAAATTCTTGGGAAATCTTTGCAACTTGAGTTTTGTTAATCTGGCATTCAACAACTTTAGCGGGGAATTGCTTATAAGTTCATCTAAATGTGTAGTATATGCTTTGGAGACATTGTCCTTGTCTGGGAATCATCTTTCTGGTCATTTACCTGATGAATTTGAACAATTTAACAATTTGCGATACTTTAGTCTCTGGGATAATTTGCTTTCTGGTTCCATTCCAACCACTATAGGAAGATTGGCATTGTTAGAAATATTGGATTTACAAAGAAATCAACTAAATGGAACTCTTCCCCAAAGTTTTGGACAACTTTCAAAGCTGAAAACTCTTGATGTGTCTAATAATTTGTTGGAAGGCATTGTGTCAGAAGTTCACTTCGCCAATCTCATCAATCTGAGGAAATTATATGCCTCTGGAAACCGGTTGACTTTAAAGGTGAGTCCTGACTGGATCCCTCCTTTTCAACTTAAAGAAATAAAACTTGCTTCATGGCGTTTGGGCCCAAGGTTCCCCACGTGGCTCCAATCACAAAAGGGCCTTGAGGACCTAGACCTGGCCTACACTGGAATATTAGATGCCATACCAATTTGGTTTTGGAACTTATCTTCCTCCCTTTATTTTCTAGATCTCTCCCACAACCAAATCCATGGTGAGATTCCATATCTTCTTGCTCCTCCTGAAGGCCAAAATATTTACTTGAATTCCAACCATTTTAATGGTCTTTTACCCCATATTTCTTCCGATTTGTATGACCTTGATCTTTCCAACAATTCATTTTTTGGGGATATCTCCCACTTCCTATGTGATAAGAAGGACAAACAACAAAATCTGGTATTTCTTGATTTAGGAGAAAACCTTCTGTCAGGTGAAATTCCTGATTGTTGGATGAGTTGGCAATCACTAAAAATCATAGAAATGGGAAACAACAATCTAACAGGGAATATCCCAAGATCCATGGGGCTTTTAGGAGGTTTGCAATCATTACATTTGCGCAACAACCATCTCTCGGGAGAAATTTCTTCATCTCTACAAAATTGTATGAGTTTAGTGTTGGTTGACCTCGGTGAGAATGAGTTTCATGGAAGCATACCTACATGGATGGCGGAAAGGCTTCCATATTTGATTGTTCTTACCCTTCGTTCAAATAAGTTAGATGGCATAATACCTCCAGAACTTTGTCGCCTCTCCCATCTTCAAGTCTTGGATCTTGCTAACAACAATTTTTCTGGAGCAATACCATGGTGTATCAACAATTTTATTGCCATGGTAAGAAAAGAAAAACATGTGCATTCTATTGCAAATGAAAATCCCATGTATGAAAATGCTCCTTCTGCTGCTCCTTCTACTGCTCCTACTTCTCCTTCTGTTATTTCTATTGTTCCTTCTGCTCCCTTTGGTAGCAAAGATTACTCAGAGAATGAAGTTTTGGTGACAAAAGGAAGTATATATCAATATGACAAGACTCTTTCTCTTGTGACTAGCTTGGACCTTTCGAACAACATCATATCTGGAAAGATCCCTGTGGAACTAACTAGTCTCCAAGGATTGCGTTTTCTGAATTTGTCCGGAAATCATATAACTGGTGTGATTCCAAAGAATATAGGTAACATGGGGTTGTTGGAATCTCTTGATTTATCCAGAAACCAACTCTACGGTGAAATTCCTCCAAGCATGTCAGGTTTGAACTTTTTAAGTTACTTGAATTTGTCTTATAATAACTTGCTTGGAAAAATTCCATCGAGTGCCCAACTCCAGAGCTTCCACGCTTCTAGCTTCACCGGCAACAAGCTTTGTGGACCTCCACTCACAAAGAATTGTAGCAATAATGGAAAAACACCTGAGGGGAATGAAGGAGATAACGGATGTGCTAGGTCTGAAGTGGATTGGTTTTATGTGTTTATGGCTTTAGGATTTGCGGTTGGTTTTTGGGGCGTCTCTGCTCCTATATTGTTCGTTAAGTCATGGAGGTATGCATATTTTCGATTTCTAGATAATGTCTGGACTAGACTTGTGTTGCTCTATGTGAGTAAATGTGTTTACATTGTACAAGTCATGTAGAAGTCTTCTATTTGTGCCTTCTAAATATTATGAATAAATTTGTTTTCTTGGAATGTCTTCTTTATGCATAAAGTTCTTGTGATTTTATAATGAAAGTTTCCATATCATGGTTAAAGTTTTTGTCAATAAGTAGCTTATGATTTTGTGTAAAATGAAAAGTCTAAGAATTATTTGAGAAGTCGAAAAACTTCTAAAAGAAAAATTGCTTTAAATTTGGAAATTATAGCAAATTCAGAGCCGGACCATGGAGTAGTTTTCCCCTAAAACCCCAAACACAATAAAAAATGAAATGTGTGTATATATATGAGTTCTACATAAAACTTTGTTTTCAACTTGCTTTCAATCATAATATCTTAAAGAGCATACCGTAGAATAGAACACATTTTATCCCATACTTGTCATATATATAATCTTCAAGCAGTTAATCTTTTAATTATGAATTTGTAGTTCAAGAAATTGAAAAACCTTGTTGCCAATTATTCAGTTTCATTCTTAACAGACTGAGGAGGAAATTAAGATATCCGTTCATGTCCTTTTGTTAAATGTTTAGGTACCTCCTTCATAATTCCAATTGTCTTCCAAATTAGGCTCTTTGTATGCATAATATCGTCTTTCTGGGAGAGGACAGCCTTGGTAGGAGTTGTTGTCAAAACAGTGCCACAAAAGCTTGTGCCAATAAGGATCCTGCAAACACATACGACTACTGTCTCAGCGACATACTCTACTAACACATTACTACACTAAACGTCAAAACAAGTAATGAAACTTTGGTATTTGAAATGAGACCCAGTAGAATAATATGATAAGAATAATGGTAATTTAGACAAAATTCTACCCACATCAATATATCACTATATGAAGTTGCAAGAATACAAAATTCGGTTCAATTTTCGGTTCTAGCAGCATTACTCTTTTCAAATAGTCCACTCTCCAACTCAGATTGGAATCAACTAAAACAAAAAAAAGATTGATGCAAGTAGATTGCATGAACAATGTTAATGAGGGAAAAAATAACCATCCCAAGGTCAAACTGCATGCAGGTCAACGAGCATGCAATCATACATAATAAAATTACCAGTTTATGTTCTTTAGAGAGTCTGGATAGTTTCTTCGATAAACTCATATTCCCAGCTTTCTATATACTCTAAAAATTTCGTGCCAATTTAACGACATTCACAAACTATAGTAACAAAGTTCTAAACATAAGATACCCTTAAAAAAATGAAAAAAAACGAAAGAGTTCTAAAGATAAACTATGCACCGTAAAGGTAAATGATAGGGGGAACTTGATCCCAAATTGTTGGAGTGTATGGTACAATTTTCTTTGATTGTGAAAATTACTCAAGCTTATAGTTTTCCATTACTATGGATGTTAGATTTCAAGTACCATAAAATACTACAGATGCATCAGTAGCTAGAAGAATACAATATTCACAAATATAAGGGATCCACATGTTAAAAATATGTTGACCGTAAAATGCTGATATTGAAGCTTGAAAAAATTTCAAGATACTGAAGTATAATGAAAGTAATAAATACTTGGTATCAATATCGAAATTTCTACCATATATAGTCATTAAACATATGGATAACGTGGATTTCGTAGTGCTTTTACATTTGGCAAAGAAAATGTATTAACCAATAGACAATTGCAGTGATGTTCATAGTAACCTAAATTTTGTGTGGTTGTGCGTGCATGTTTGTGCCTTTCAATTACAGGGAAAAAAAAAAAAAAAAGGAAGACAGAAAGTCCATTGTTGTTTTGGTATTAGAAAAAGAAAAGCTCAGTTGAAAAATAAGTGAAAATTTCTCTTCCCTGCCTACTGGAAAATGAACAATCAAAGTTTTAATCTATTTTTCTTTGACTACCATCGCTTAATCCAAACAGACTTTTCGCTAGAAAATTCTTGAACTTACCATCACAAACATACAATGTCAAAGAGAATATTATCTAATAAAGAGACAATGTCTTAAATAAGTGCACTTTTTGTCTTTTTGGACTAAAAAATTGAGGAAAAAAATATGGATGTTTGGGTTAACTTTTTAACTTTTTTGGAAAAAATGTGTATTAAAAAATTGTATAAATTAGTATGTAGGGGAAAATTAGGATTGGAAGTTGTGCAGCCGTAATTTTTGATTTTTGTTGAATAGTGATAACTTTTTAACTTTTTGAGTAACTTTTTGACTTTTTGGTTTTTTTTCAACTCGCCAAACTTGGCCATTACACTTTCCGGCCCTATAGTTTGACCCAAATTTCACTTTGGTCACTATTGTTTCAATTGGAACAATGTTAATTAACCCTAGGCTTTAAATCAAGTTCCAATTTGACCATTCGATCAAAATTATCATCAAAATGGTTTGTGTACTCCTCACGTATTACAATATTGTGAGTTCAACATCCAATTTGGATGGAAGCAACAAATTGAAACTGGGCTTGAAGTATGGAGTTAACATTGTTCAAATTGAAATAATAAAGTCCAAAGTGAAATTTTGGACTAATCACAGGGTGAAAAGTGTAATTTACCCAAGCTTAAAATATAACGGATACATAAACAACATAAAGTACCTTACTGACAATGTGTGGGTTCCCAACTATGATAAGCAAGGACTTCGCCCTAGTAACCGCAACATTAAACCTCCTCGGATTGCTAAGAAAACCCAGACAATAGGTTTTATCAAACCCATTGTGTTTGGCTGTTGACCTCACAGTTGAAACAATTATAACTTCTCTCTCTTGTCCCTGGAATTGCTCAACACTCCCAACCTTAACACTGCCCATATCAAATGATTCCAATACTTTAGTTATCTTCACCACCTGTTGTCTATAAGGTGCTATTACCCCAATATCTTCCTCCCTTAGACCTTCACTTCCTCTAAGCTTCTTTACAATATCAACAACCTTGCTTGCCTCAATTCGATTAAACCATGACGGATCGTTGCCTTCTCTCTCATCGCAGCCTTGAATGCCAATGAAGAGAACAGGAAATTCTTTGTTAGGAAGGAGGCTTAGCCAACATTTCAAAGAAGAGGTATCTTCTTTACACGCAAGCAATTTCTGTCTGTAGAATAGCTTCGAAGGTACGTGTAGAATTGCAGGGTGACAACGGTAATTCCTCACTAATTTTGTGATGAAACTTTCATCCCTGTTGTGGTAATATTCACATTCAAAAAGTCTTTCTAGATAAGATTTTCCTAACCCGAAAACCTTTGCATCTTTGGAATATACTACCGGGCCTAGTTGCATGGGGTCTCCTGCAAGAACGACAACAGTTTCGCTTTCACAAAGATTGGATATAGGAACCATGGCTTCTGGTTCTGAAGCTTGGCCGGCCTCATCTAAGAAGACATGTGAGAAGTGGCCGCAACAAATACCTTCTACGTAAAGTAGTGATGAACTCATATAGGTGGAGATGATGACCCTATAATGCATTAAGGCCATGAGCGGTGGACATTTGAAAATGAAATCTTCAAAAAAGCAAAAGCGAATGTTATTAGCTTGAACATCCTCATAAGACCGGCTAGTTGCATTTAGCCTGAAAATCTCGTTCTCTTTGACCCCAACCGCTTCATTATTGACAAGTTTCTCCAAGATATGATCCGCTGCACTGTTTGAAGCAGCACAAACAAGAACATGAGCATCTTTTCTTGTTGCATATCAAAAATTTTGATAGGTTAATTTGGAGAGCCATCCCCCTTATTGTTCTTTGGTCGCTTTGGAAACTTAGGAATGAATGTGTCTTTGCAGAGGCTCAACCTAGTCTCTCTGGATTGAGTGAAAATATCAAATTAGAGCAGTAATTTGGCTGAAAGCATCTATTAAAGATCTTCCTTATTCCGTTGATGATTTAATTTTCAATTGGCGTCAAATCAGAGGATGTTCTTAACTGTTCTGAGCTGCCTTGGGTTGAGTTGAAGCTGGTATGGTTGTGTCAGGCTGCAAGTCAAGTCCAATCTCTTAGAATTCTGGGTCTGGGCTGCTAGCATGCAGCTGCTAATCTGCTTTGTTCTGCTGGGTAAGATAGTTGATCTGAGCATCTACTGGTATGCTCTCTGTTGTGTGTGAGTGGGTTGGTGCCTTGTCTTTGGACTGCTACTGGTGCAATCAGAGTTTATGGATGTTAATTAGTGGAGTGCTATGTTGGTCTGTCAAGATTTCTGATATGTTAAGGTGAGCAGGGTTGCTGAGATGGTAGTGGCGGGGGATGGACTGCTAGTGTATGGATGTTGTCTTGGTTCTCCATCTTCAGATGTTTATGGATCCAGTTGAATGGCATGTCAGTGTGGATTGGTTGGAGCTCTGCTGCAGTTTTCCTGTTTTATGAAGACCTGTATGCTGCTGGTTTGTCTATGAGCGCAGTTGGGCCCTTCAGATTGTCTTGGAAGGATGCTGTTCTAGTTTTGTATGTTGTCCAGATTGCCCGGCTGCTCTCCCATGGCAACTTGGCGGTTCGGCTTGCTGTACTGTTTTTGCTCCCTTCTCTTTCTGTTTTTTGTTTTTGTTCTTCGTTGGTCTCTCACCAACTAGGAGGTTGGAGCTTTTTTAGCTCCAAGCTCCTCTTTATTGATATTGTTCTCCATACTCTGTATGCGTTTCTTTTATCAATAAAGTCTTTTCCTTTGCCGATCAAAAAAAAAAAAAAAAAATTTGTTTCCCCAAAACACCAAAGTCATTGTTTTGCCTGTACCTGGAGCAAGTATCAAAATTTTGTTTCAATATGTTGTCGTAGTTAGCTTATGTTTCAGAAACACAAGGAAAATGACAAAAGAATTGGGAATGTTTGAAAATGTTTGGAAATAAAAACTAAAACCAATATAAATGTTAATACGTTCTTAATAATTAAATAATTGAATATGTTGATGTAGTTCCGCTTCTTGCTCTAAAATCATAAGGAGATTGATGCATATAAAAAACTCAAAACAGAAAAGGTTTAAAGGCCTAGCTGGGGAAGGGGGGTTTTCATTATAAGAAAAAACATGAAAAAAATGTAAAATTCTAATGTATCATGGATGAGAGAGAGAGAGAGAGAGAGATGACAATCTTTTTGTAAAGAGTACATTATGGTAATAAAGAAATAGAATAAATGACTTAATTGTGCTTTTTTATCTTCTCCTCTCTATCTCCCCTTTACTGTGTTTGGCTATTCCTAATAAGTGTCGAAACAACTCGGTTTCGTAGCATTATGGTGCATTTGGATTTTCGTACTCCACTAATGTTTTGTTTTGATTTTTCAAGAAACAAAAATGTTTCAGCCATTTTGATGGCAAAGAAATGAAATTTTGTTACTTGACCTGGAGGCCCATGGATGACATAGGGAGGAGCTCCTTCGCAACCAAGGATCGTCTCAACAGCTCGCTGCTGCTCCTCATTGAGAGGTGTGAAAGGGACGATTTGAGTCATTTTGATTAATCTTTTTGTTGATTGAGATGGAAAGAGAAAATTTGTATCTAAACTCTCTGCTGCTTGGACAGCATGATATAATCTTCGTATGTTCACCCTATTATATGAAAATCTAATGTTGTACAGAACTCCAACTTGATAATTCATATGGAAATTCTTGCTGAACTTCAGAAGCACATCGTCAGCCTCAATACGGTGGATGATGCCCTGCAAAATAGTTATTTATAAACCGGCCTGAAAACACTAAAGATAAATCACAAGTATTGCTCTCTCCTCCCTCCCCACCAGCCATCAGATATTGAAACTTGCTTCCTATTTTATGTAAACAAAAAAGAAAAAACTGACGACATCAAACGATCCCTAAGAGATGGACATGAATCTCCTTACAAGGGAGTAAACCTGGTGCCATAAAACTAATTAAAGAAATTTGCTAGTTTTATCTAATCCATAGAAGAAAAAAAACTAGTAAAACAGATGAAATTTTTTCTTACATGAAAGTTTTATGCACTAAATTGGTCAAACTTCACATTGGTTCAAAAACATTCATGGACAAACAGATTGACACAGACAATTTATCAGTGCAGCTATCCTTGAATTTCAGGGGTAAAGAGCATAAAGAAAACTTAAATAATCATCAATTCAAATCCCAAAATTGAGTTATGAAAAAATGGTACCAAGAAAATCAATAAAAGTCGCATATTCTTGTAGGCTCTATATAAAGCTCTGTATCCGATTAAGTAAAATGGGTTTTGGGCTGCTTGGAATTCATTACATATAAAGAAGTAAAGCAACAAAATTTATGCGGCATGTTCAAGCATAAGCTGATGAATTTCAACAACAAAAAAAGGAAGTTCCAAGGGACACAAAAAACACTTTGCGTTTGGTAGAGTTTTAGAATTATGATTTGAGAATAGAGTTGTATTTTGAGTTTGTGAGTTTTGAAATTATGATTTGAGTGTAAAAAATTTGTTTAGTTATGAGTTGTGAAAAGAGTTTTGAATTGAGTGATGTGACATGATATTTGATTAAAAAATTTACAACTCATAACCAAACACACAATACAAAATTCTATTCAAAACTCATAAAAAATTTCTAAAATATTTTTTTATTTAAAATATAAAAATAACAGGTGTGAAAAAAAAAAAAAAAACACGGACACTGTTCCGGTCAACTGGCCGGATGTCCGGAGGGACATCAGGGAGGATGACCGGGTAGACGTGTTTTCAAATGGCTCCTTTCCGTGCTGCTCTTGTCATTCTAGTGCTGAAGATGTAAGTCATGTCCTTCTCCATTGTCAATTTGCTTGGTGCATTTGGTCTGAAGTGGTTAAGTGGTGGAGCTTGGAGTGGGTTATGCCTCAGAGTATATCTCAGCTTTTGGATTGGTGGGGTGGTTTTAAATTTAAGAAAATGCTCAAGTGTATGTGGGATGCACTGCCATCTGTGGTCATGTGGTATGTGTGGAAGGCTAGGAATGAAATTAAATTTTCTGGTTCACAGGTAAACTGGTGTGGTGTCTGTGAATCCATTAAGATGCATATTGCTCTCGTGGTTAAGTACCATTCTAAGGGGGTGGTTTTCTCAGTAAATGAGTTGCTCTTTAATTTGAAATCTATCAGGGGGCTTTGAGTTGTGGTTGTTGCTGCCTTTCCTTTTGTTCTGGGATACAGTGGATGCTGCTGTCTAGTTGTTGTGTTGTTCTTCTTGGTGTCTGTTTGCTTCTTGTTTCTATTTTGGGTTGTGCTGGTTGGTCTCTCTCCAACTAGCTTTTGGCTTGTGTTAGCACATGATTGGGTGGCTTTCTTGTGCCAACCTAGTTGGGATAAGTATGGTTCACTATGATGTTAGCAGCACGGCCTTTTTGTTCCTTTATTGATGTCAGATGTAAGGATTTTTTCCTTGGTTCTAATTCAATAAAGTTTTTTGTTGATCAAAAAAAAAAGTGAGTGTAAAATTAATTTTTGAAAACTATAACCAAACACCATGTGCAAATCGAGGGGTGGAATTAAAATTGCAAAGCTCTACCAAACGGATTTTTCTTTCCTTTATTTATTTATTATTATTATTATTTTTTTGTTTTTGTTTTATTTTCAATTAGTAATCAGCAATGGCTAACCTGGTATGGAGGAGAAGTATCATTTTCACCTTGAAAGGCAAGCATTGCAAAAGCAAAATCACCATGCACAAGCGAAGGCCTTCTCTCAGCGAGCCCAGGATCGGCGAGAGCCAACAAATTAGCCCCTTTCCTCCTCATGGTAATGCGCTCCATGTCATGACACCTCATTTCTTTCTGAAAAATAACAACAATTTTAGACCCAACATCTACAACAAGGCCATACCATACCATTTAACTCACCAACCATTAGAATTTAGAACTCACCTCCAAATGTAGCTCTTCCATGTTAAGCAATGTATTGAAGTAAGTAGCATAGTTCTCCTTCATAAGACCGTGTGTAATAACCTCAGGGACTTGCTTATTCTCCACTAGCTCTCTAACACCCGTTGGAATTTCAAACAGAGGAAGTTTATAATCTAGCCCTCGGGTTTTCGTCTTAGCTGACTCATTAGTGGCAAATTGTTTTCTTCTCGGAAATCTTGAATAAGGCTTCTTTGAAGCCAAGGACCGCGAGATCTTGTCTTCAGCCAATACAAAAACTACCCGTTCAATCCTTTCGTCTCCTACATCAAAATGTACCACGGATGTGTGCAGACCAATGTCTTTCGGTTTGCAAGATAACCAAATAGTTTGAGTCTGGAGTGGCTGAAGAACTCTATCCTCGAGCGAAAATCCCTCCATAAAGTCTTGAATGTAGTCCGCATCTGAATTGACTGAAGGTGGTTTGAGGAGGGATAAAGTGAACGAATCTGCGGGATTTGAACAGAAAAAGTTGACTCCCCAGAGTTCCACCGGTTCACTTGTTGTGTTTTGTATGGTAATTGGATGCGCGGAAGTTTCTCCAACAAAAACAGACAGAGGCTTTCCTCGTATGAAGGGAAATGGAATGGAGATAAGAACCGGACCCTCTTCATTTGGGTCATAAGCACACAAAGATTTGTCATCCTCAAAGTCAAGAAATCCGATTTCTCCCTTGTCTCCAATGACGGAGAAATCATCATCACACCGTTCCCTTCCAATCAAACTCATTGTTACTTGATGTTTGTACCAACCAGGTTCTTAGAATGCTGATCAAACACTAAGAATAGTAAATAAACACACTGAACAAAATTTATGATTGTAGTAAATTCTATAAAATGATAATAAAACAATCCATCTCTAGAATGATTGTACCTCGTTCTGTTCTGGATTATAATCTCTAATGAAAAATATAGTCCCGTGAGCAAAAGCTTCTGAATTAGCACATAATATTCATAGGCCAAGGATAATTAGATGATCAGACAACCTTAAAAAACAGAGAGAGATAGAAAGAGGAGAGAGAAGAAGAATAAGAAGATAAACAGAGATTCATTCGTTGGCTATCATTTTCAACTATTCCCACTAGAGTTGTGTTATACATAAACAGATGTTTAGCAGATTTTATTTTTTTTCATTAGACACAAATATATCGAACCCACATTAATAAATTCGCTGTCATTTTTCATTCCGACTATAAACTGATGCCATTGTCAGGCTAAGAAACTTGTGATCAAATACCAAGAATGGAAACTATACTTGTTTGCTGGAAATTAATGTAATGAAAGGTAGTAACACAACCATACACACCATCTATATTAAAGAACCCACAAAAGTTACAAAAAGTTAACCCATGAAAGCAAAAAATCAGGAAAAAAAAAAAAAAAACATAAACATAAACAAAAAACAAGATTACAGGTCTAGAAGGAAAGAGTAAAATCATTAGTTAGGCATAACAGTTATCATCCCAAAATTGAGACTTGTATACCTAATGTCATAGCCCAACATCATTAAATAACCCTCTCTTTTTTGGTTGCACTCACTAGTGAATAGGTTAGCACAACCAAGTGTTTTGACACTTTTTCATAAATTCGAATCTGAAATATCTCTCCCTAGAAACCTAAAAGCTCAAACATTTGAACATGACTATTTAGATTTGAGCTACACTCAAGTTCCATCCAATATCAGGGATTTCTAGTTTAATGCTAAAAAAAAAAAAAAATGACGCCCAATTAGTATACATTAATATGTGTGGGAGGAGAAAGATTGAGTACACATCTCATCTTTGGCATAATGCACAAAGTGGTGGCCCAAGACTTGAACCCACAACCTCAAGATTATTAGGTCAAGTCTTGACCATTGAACCAATGGTCAATGGGTTAATGCTACAAAACAAAATGAAGTGGCCATAGCTATGTGGGTTGAATCTCCAAACCCTGAATAAAAATTTTAAACAAAACCAAAAATTGAATAGCTGATTGAACTCCCACATTCAACATATCAGATTTTACAGAACATTTCAGGAAGAAGAAGCCATAAACACAAATGATAAAAATCTATGATGCAGCTCAAAGACATAAAAGAAAGATATCATTCATACCTTTGATCAGAAGCTGAAGAAAATGGTTTCTGGTGGAGGGAAAGTTGAGGGAACCAAAGAGAAAGTGGTTGAAAATAAAGAGAACCCAGATGTGTAAACAGAGTAAAGATGAGTTTGGAGTACAACAGTAAAAATTTACAGATGAGAGAGAATGGAAAGTCATGAGAAGGGTGAGTTTTGGGTTTAGTTTTGCATGCAGAGACAGGTGAAAATGCTCTTCACATTTTTGTTCGGACGAATAATATGTTATATCAATTTACAGAGTCCCTGTTTGGCAACCACTCTCTTTTTTTTTTCTTTTTTTTAAATAAAAGAAAAAGCAAGGAAAAAAATTGTTTAGTTTTGAATTTTCAAATACAATTTTTTATTTTTTCTATTTTGTCTTTTTCATATTTTGTTATCTTTAATAAAAAAAAATATTTTAATATTTTTTTTTCAAGATGTACCTATATTAGATGCACTTAAAATGTAAAATATTTATATAAAAAAATAGATAAATTACAAATACACCTTCTGAAATTTACTTAAATACACATTGACCCTTATATTTCTAGAAATTATATCCTGCCCCCTGACGTTTTCATAACAAATGACCGTTTTTATCAATAAATCATCAAATCAATTAACATTTTTTAATGATGTCAGAAATATTTGTAGGGATCATGACCAGTAGAGGTGGCCGTGGTCCAAGTCGTTGGGGCCAGTATTACTGAAGAAACCGTTCTTTGTATTGAACCAGCATATGAAAAATGGATGACTGATCCATGGGAAATTAAGTGTCGTTATCTTACGACCCAACAATTTCCTCCCCATTTTGATCAATATCGCTATATTTATGAACAGATACTCATTGAGACTGCTGCCATGGAAATCAAGCATACTCTGCATGATCCTTCCAAGACTGCCAGTCCCATTCAATTCAGTAAAACAACGATCCACAATATCATGCCATTTCTACATGGGGCATTCATCCGCATTCCACTCGTCAACTTGACATTCGTAACCGGGAAACTCGTTATAGTTATTGGGCTTATATCGATGCATTTACTTATGGTTTTTACTACCAGAATCCCATTTGCAATCACTCTTGGTTTATCCGTATTTGTCCCGATGTTCTCAAAAATGATTTACCTAATTGGTTTCTCATTTGGTGGGATAAATTTGGGTTATAACTTGAAGTTTTACCAGTATCTATCCGTTAAGCTTTTAATGAATGGCAAATTACTTATTCTCATTTACCAGGACATAAAGATATTTCTATTATGACCAAATCCTTGGTTCATTTTACCATCCGTTTTAGTATTCCATGGATATGGAAATGGGATGTTCAGTGTGATTACCAGAATAAGATCCCGCGTCTCAAAAGAGTTTTCTATGTGAGATAGTGGGACAAGGGTATGAATCCCATTTTACCAGAAACTGTCCAGAAAATTAAGGCACACTCTCAAGTTTGCTGGGATGCTGTTCCCAAAACAATTCCCAGCCAACCGGTTATTCAAAACCCTTTTTTACAAATCCAAACAGAATTATGCCAAAAATATCCCAATTTGTCAGAAACATAACTAGTTATCAAAAGCATGGATTTCATGAAGGAACAATTTCTTCAAACTATTTCCAGTGACGTCACCTCCATGAAATCCGTGACTAGCAGTCAAGACCAGGACGATCCAGACCAGGGTGAAAATGAATTTGTTGTTCTAGCTGGAGAATCACAGGACCCTGTAGATAATGAACCCAACTTTGGTGATTTTTGGGATTCACTTGCCAGTATGATTGCCGAAAAGATTGACAAGGAAAAAGATAAAAAAGAAAAAGGCAAAGCATGAGTCTTTGTCCCCCACCAGCAAAGATTTTTTAGGAGTGTCGACACAAAACGACAAGCAACAGTATTTTACTTTTCGCAAAGCAGATGCTCTGTCGGCCATCCAGTAACTACCGCCCAGCTATCAATAACAGGACAAAGGAGATAAGGATTACTGAGTCACATGAGATTTCCACTCAGCCTTGAGGATATGGACGATCGACTCCAACCAACAAGGACACGCCACATGTCCTCACCTTATCTTATCTTATCTTTTCTTTTGTCTATATAAGGGATAGCAAAACCCTTGTTGAGGCAGAATGGGTTTTAGAATTAATTTTTTTTTTCTCTTTCAGTGTGCTTTGGAGTGTACCTCTCTTCCCTCTTGTAAAATTCCTCAGTTTATGATGTATAAATTAAGTATTGACGAACTATGCTGTTTTGAAGACTCTGATTGTAAGTATTTTCTTCTTTACTTTCATATTTATGTATATCTGTAAATTTACTTGTTGAATTACATGAAGTATTAGAATTTTATCTCCAACGTCGTAATTCGTACACAAACCACCTGCACGATTGGTATTTACAACATTAACCAGCAATTAGAATTTATTAATAAACAGATAAGTTTAACTGAACAGCGGATCCAAGAATAGATCTGCCGCTTAGCGGCCGCTAACCGATCTCTCCCACCTCAACAGTAAATCATGAGACCATATATGTAGGAATTTGAATCTAATATAATAATAATGCTAGTACTAATTATAATAATGTAAAAAAAAAGAAGAAGTATTATTCTTGGGTTTATGCTTTGTAAGGGTAGAACTGGGTTAAGTTTAGTGGGATGTCACCCAAGTCGTGTTTAGGTATAGATCCATGTTGTAGAGAGAGCATATAGGATTGTTTCCTTGTAAAGCGTTGACAGACGTACTAAGCCTAAACCCTTGTTCAAGCACCTTAGATGGTATCAGGAGTAAGAAGGACATTCTTAGCAGATTGACTAGAGGAATTACTGTTAGGAATGTACTGTTCAGGAGTAAGGAGGGCATCCTTAGCAGATTGACTAGAGGATTCCCCTTTATTACTGTTAGAGGCTTGTAGCCCTCGAAATTCTGTTGTATATGGATTTTGGTAAGGGCCCCTACCTCGGCCCCAACGACTTGGGCCACGGCTACCTCTACTGGTCATGATCCTTGCAAATCTTCACGGGTTAAGAAGTCTGGTAGAGAGGTCTATTCACCTTTGATATATTCAATATCAAAGTCAAATGCTGATAATGTACTCTGCCAAGTTGCAAATATCTGTTTATGAGAAAGATTAAGAACATCTTTTTTAAATAATTGTTTGGCTGCTGAACAATCAACACGAATTAAAAATTGTTGATTTAATAAATCATCATGAAATTTTAAAACAGATTTAACAATTGCTAAACACTCTTGTTTAATCGTTGGATAATTTAGAGCAGCTTTAGTCTAATTTCTTGATGTAAATCTTAATAATTCTTCTTTTTGACTGGTAGGGTTAAACTGTTTTAGAATACCTCCATAACCATAGTTAGAGGCGTCAGTTTCCATTATTTTCTTCCATTCTGGATTTGGTAAAGCAAGACAGACATAAGAGTTGTTTTACTTTAGTTTTAATTTTCTGAATTGTAGCAGTGTGTGCATCTATCCATGGAGAAGTATTTTTCTTTAATCTGGTGTAAAGGATAGCAGCATCCTGAGATAACTGATGATAATAGTCTCAAATATAATTTAGACTATAGAGAAATCTCTATAATTGAGTTTTATCTTTTATTTCATTTGGAAATTTAGAAGCAAACTCTATACTTTTGTCAATTGGTATAATAGTTCCATTATGAATATTATGACCAAGAAAACGTACTGTTGTTTGAAAAAGTTTGATTTTTGCTGTAGATATAATTAAACCATTTCGGATAATATACTTAAAAATGTTAAGATGTTTAAGATGCTGGTCTATTGATGAGGAGAAACAAGAACATCATCAATATAACAGATAGAAAATTATGTATTAGGAGTAAATGATGGTGCATTTTTTAAACCAAATGGCATAACATTCCATTCATAATGCCCAAAAAGTACAGTAAAAACAGTTTTATATCTATCCTGTTCTGCAATTTGTATTTGCCAACATCCTGATTTTAAGTCAAATTTAGAAAATATGACTGTATCTTGTAATCTATCAAGAAGATATTTTTTATTCGGGATAGGATATCTAATATGTTTTAAGGCATCATTAAGTGGTTTATAATTAATAACTAATCTAGGCATACCTCTTTCAATTTCTGCATTTTAATTAACGTAAAATGCTGTACAACTCCAAGGAGAATGGCTAGTTCTGATTAACTTCTTATGGAGGAGATTTTGAATTTTGGTTTTACACATATCTAAATATTCTTTTTTGATTTGACTAGGGCGAGATCTGGTTGGGATGAATTGTTCATCAAAGTCTGGTTCATACGAAAGAGAAACTATGTGTTTCTTTCTTTCCCAAAAAGCATTGGAATTTCACTACAGATTTTTGTTTGAAATTCTTTTTCAATTAATTTAATTTTATTCTGTAAAGACGACTGTTGTAATCTTTGCTCAATAATGAGAAAATTAATTTATGTTTGAAGAAAAATAATTTGTTTTTCTTTAAAATTGACTAGATCTTTGATTTGATCTAATTTTTTGGTATAAGGTTTTATTATGAATTCAAAGATAATAGATTGATTACTGATGGTTGTGTAAATGCCTATGGAATCTATCTTGGTGACAGGCATTAGTAAACACAGAAATGGTGTAATAACCCTCACGCTATCCTAACCATACTCATATGCATTCATGTGAATCTGTCTTGTAAACTTGCATTTCGAGTCTTGTCCTTGTTTGTTTAAGTGTTACAGCATGTTTTGTACCCTGCTTGGTGTGAGTTTAGCCGAGGGCGTCTTTAGTCTAGAACTTCCTTGGAACCACTTTGTTTGACCTCTACCTTCGGTTCATAAGGAATATAAACTATCTGCTTCTTTCTTTCCCATAAAGCATTGGGAATATCACTACAAATTTTTGTTTGAAATGCTTTTTCAATTATTTTAATTTTAGTCTGTAAAGATGATTGCTGTAATTTTTCCTCAATAGTGAGAAAATTGATTTCTGTTTGAAGAAAATTGATTTGTTTTTCTTTGAAATTAACTAGATCTTTAATTTGATCTAATTCTTTAGTATAAGGTGCTGTTATGAATTCAAAAATAATGGATTGATTACTGATTGTTGTATGAATGCCTATGGAATCAATTTTTGTAATAGGCATTAATAAACATAAAAATGGAGTCCCTAAGATAATGCTTTGAGACATGTTTCTGATAAGGACAAAAGAAGTGGGAAGCCATATGCCTTGATTACAGATAAAAGCTTCCGGTACTAATCACCACTTGCATTGGTTAACGATTGAGTGGTTTTCTGAAAATATTTAGTAGGAATTAATCCTTCTTGAATACAATTCATGTTAGCACCACTATCAATAAAGGTGATGGAATCTTTAATAATAAAATCAGTTTTTATTATAAAAGTGATACTGATATACAATTTCTGGAAGGTAATTTGATTTATAAGCAGTAAATACTGATTTTCTGGTTTATCTTGACTTTTCTTTTGTTCTGAAGTTTTGTTCTGAAGTTTGTCCTTTATCCTTAAGTTGACTATTAATTTTTTTAATATCATTAAGAATTGATTGGTTAGCTGTTTGAAGGTGTTTTAATTCTGTTTTTAATACATTAATTTCCATTTTTAAATCTTGGATAGTTACTGGTTTTTCAATTGATTGAGAAATTTCCATGCGGTTAAGAACTTCTTGCATACTGTAATGTTCAATTGGAACTATTTCTTCTGTTTTATGATTTTGATAACATATTTCTAGGAATTTTAATTTCATCTCGAGATCCTTAATTTGGTCTGTTAACTCTAGCATAGATTTCTAGTCACCAGTTAAGACATTGAGGCTGGGTCTTCTTAAGTCTAAACCATTCATTTCAACTATTGTTTTCCAATAATTTGCTTCGGTTAGAGCATGTAGAGCATTCACATTACTGATCTTACAAGGACATTGTTCTGGAGTATCTGAGCCAGAACTAGACTCAGATGGGGAATAAATTTCTACTAAACCATCATCTGAACTAGACGTACTATCTTCATCAGAAAGAGTTTGTAAAATCTGTTGTTGAAGATGTTCATCCAAGGACATCTCATTAAGTTTCTGTTTTAATTTGGCCCTACATTTATTCACATAATGTCCTGTTGCTTCACATTTATAACAAGTGATTTGTGATTTATCTTTCTTTGGATAAGATTTATGTTTACCTTTAGTTAATTTTCTAGGCCTTTGATAAGACTGTTGGGGATTATAGTTGTTCTGTTTGGAGTATGATTTTCGAAAAGATTTTTTATATGGTTTATGTTGTCTCTGTTTTTTAGATTTAGAAGGATACTGAATTTTGGTTTCATAGGCGAATTGATCACAAAATTCACCTAATTATTTTCTACCTGTTAAATACTATTTTTTTTCATAAGATACTGGAGTTTAAGGTCATTACAAAGGGAAAGACCTTCTTTAACTATGATACATATGAGTTGACCATAAGTGTACTGGTTGTAAGGGATAGATATCCTATTATGGCGATTCCTTAGTTTTTTATGGATCTTTTCTGCAAAAAGGTTAGGAAGACCATCAATGAATTTGGCTTTCCAGTGTTCACTGTTAGCATCCTCGCATTGCATTACTTTTAACATAAACACATCTTTATACCATCGAAAATGGGTTAGAGATGGGCAACGAAGGTTCTGTAGGAGTTCTCTACTCCTATCACTGTTAGCTACATCTGGTCTTACAAAATGATAGAGGATGGTTTGGGTAAGAGTGTAAACTACATCTTCTCTATTTCTGACAGTTCATGTTATGGGATCGGTATCTACGTGAAAGGAATTAAGAATTTCGTTTTGTTGTGTAATGGTAAGAACATTATCTCACCAGCCTTTAAGGATACCAGTAAAACCATTGACAATAAAGTGAGCGATTTGGCTGTCAGAATTGTCATTTTGCTTGCAAACAGTGGCATACATCATAATCTGGTGGATGGTTTCAAATATCTGGTATTTGGTATAACCATCAATATTCCATTCGTAAATAGTCTTGCCATGGTAGGCTTTCTGGGAATGAAGAAAATCTTCTTCATATAAAATACCCTAGGGTGTAGGTCGGGAGTAATAATACCTACTAGGTTCGGTTAAAGCCATGCGAGATGTTTGTTTAGGGAAATAGGTTTTATTTACATGTTGGATGTCTAGAAAATTATTCTGAATTTCAAGAATATGAGAGGGTGACAATACATCATCCTCATCCACATCTAGAGATTACTGGTTATGCTGACTGCTTAACATATTGATCTGAGCACTGGATTGTCCTAGTTTCATGTCTTTGATTTTATTCACAAGAACATCTAGAAATTCATTGTCCTATTTAACTAACCTTAATTAGAAATTAGAAACTTCTAAGGGTGGTTTAATATTAACAGGATGTACAAGTTCTAGTGCAAGTTTCTTTTGGTCAATGTTTTGAACCTAAATTAGTTCTGTTATAGATGTTTCAATTCGGTTTAGTTGATTACCTACTGTTTGTAAATGAAGATTTGTATAATTATTTTGTTTCATTATTGGGGCAAGATCTTTGACCCAAATAATGTCTTGTTTTTCACATCCATTAGGTGGTTTTACAAAAGCGGTAATGTGTAAAGGTTGACTGGAATAATTTACCCCCGGTGCTAATTCAACAGATAAAGGAGGAGGGTGTACAGATTTAATGGTTTGACCATTTGTAGCAGTCCAAGATTTCTGTAAGTTGTCCAAAACATTTAATTCTGATGATGGAAGATATTCCATTACAGTTGCATATTCATAATACCATTCAACAAAAGGTTTTATTATCTGATATTTTTTAAGATGAAAATAATACGGGTTTTTAAACTATTCAAGTTCTGGAGAACTATGGATCTTAAAATACCATGTCCTAAATTCCTGCTATTTATCTTGCATAAAATCCTAGTTTAATTGTTTTCTGAGTTCACTACCTATTGTGAAATCCATTATATTTCAAAATTCATGTCACTAGCTGTTGGGCTGTAAGGCCTTCTGTTTTCATACACTCCATGGGGTATTTGATTTTCAGATACATGGATTTCCTGAATGACAGGGTCTGCTAGAGAGTCACTAGATGGTATCAAAGCCAGTTTATCATAATTGGTATTGTTATTATATTTTATTTAAATTATACATATATGGTCACTATACAACCAATATGAGCATAGAGCCATCAGAATCCACTCTCACAACCGTAGCCAATACAGTAGCTTCTACATCAGAAGCAGCAGAACTTGTAGCCTACTTGGACATTAGGGAAGCCTTAGATAAATAGACTATTCCCAGTGTTAAACCAGAAACATTTACAAAATTGGAAATTTTGATTTTACCAGTAAGAAGGTAATTGACAAATTTGATGTTTCTTGAGGTACTAAACCTTTCGGACAACCAACTAGCAGGACCAATTCTTCAAGGGAGGCGGTTTTATACATTTGAAAATTGTGGTTGTAGTGTTAGCGGTAATAGTGGTAAGGTGGTGGAGGTGGAGATCGTTTGATATCGTTAGTAGGAAAAGAATTTAGTTCAAAAATATTTTTTACCCAAATAAACTTTTTTTTTCATGATCAACGGAAAATTGTTCAGTTGATATTCATTTTTTGTCGTACCAAACATTGATGAAAGACAAGCTTGTTTGAAGAGTGGATAATTACAATTTACATGGTTGCCTTACTTTGACAGGCTTCACCAAAGAAAGACTTACTGTTACTTAGCAGTGTGTATAAGAAGAATACAATTACTCTTATCCTTCTCCATAATCAAATATCCAACTTATTCATTCTTATATCTTTGATTCCCATAAGGAGAAATGAGTTGGCTAATATTGCTTTATCAATTTCTGTTGTTTCTCTCTTTTTCTTAAGCTCTTACATGTTCATCATCATTGTCTTCTTCTACTTCTGCATGCCCCACGTGCCTTGAGGATTAGAGATTCGCACTACTCCAATTTAAAAAAAACATTTGTCATAAGTAGCTTTACTTTTTTACAATGTAAATCTTATTCTCATCCTAAAATAGAGTTCTGGAATGAGAATATTGATTATTGCTCATGGCAGGGGGTCATGTGCGGCTGGTTGAATGGTCATGTAATTGGACTTGACCTCAGTCGTAATGAGCTTCAGGGCACCATCCAAACCAATAGCAGCCTCTTCCACCTTCGTCAGCTCCAGAAGCTCAATCTTGCCTTCAATGACATCAGATTCTCTAGAATATCATCTAAGTTTGGATCATTCATGAATTTGACCCATCTCAACCTCTCAAACTCTTTATTTTCAGGTCGAATTTCTTCAGAAATCTCCCACCTGTCCAAATGGATTTCGCTCGATTTTTCTAGTATTCATGAGGGGAGACTTGAACAACACACTTTCAATATGCTCCTTCAGAACCCAATCCAATTAAGAGAACTACACCTTGATGCATTGGATATCTTGTCACCTTTACCTCATGCTTTGTTAAATCTATCTTCTTTGACATCTCAGTCTTGCTTCTTGTCAACTGCGTGAGAAATTCCCAGAAAACATTTTCCACCTCCCAAACCTACAAAAGCTCGAGGTATGTGATAACAGGGACCTCACAGGTAAACTTCCAAACTTTAATATAACTAGTTCCCTTCAAATTATTGATCTCTTCAGGACAAGTTTTTCTGGTCAAGTGTTTGATTCAATCAACAATCTTAAAGCCTTGAATAGTGTGTACCTCATTGAGTGCCACTTTTCAAGGTCCATTCTAGCTTCTCTTGGGAACCTTAACAAATCACCAATTTGTACTTCTTGTATAATAGTTTTAGCGGTCAAATCCCCTTGTCGATTTCAAACCTTGCAGAGCTTATTCACTTGTTTCTTTCTAATAACAATTTGAACGGATAAATACTAGATTCCATTGGCAACATGAGCCAACTTGCTTTCTTGGACCTTTCTGGAAATCAGCTAATAGGTCCCATTCCTTTGTGTGCAATTGGGCTTTCCAGGTTAGCTTACCTTGATTTAAAAAATAACTCACTCAATGGGACAATACCATCTTGGTTATCTACTCCACCTTCACTGGTTTCTATAGAATTGAGAGACAATAAGTTGCAAGGACAAATTCCAGGATCTGTTTATGAACCGTGAACCTGACACACTTGTCACTTTCATCAAATAACTCAAGTGGTATTGTGGAGATAGATAAGCTTCTAAAGCTAAAATATCTATCCCATCTTGACCTTTCACATAATGGTCTCTTATTGAGCATCAACAACAGTGTCAACTCTACCATGCCCAAATTTCACACTATAGGATTAGCTTCTTGCAACTCAAGCGAATTTCAAACTTCTTGAGAGTACAGGCTGAATTGCTTTCTCTAGACCTTTCAAACAACAAAATTGGTGGTGAAGTTCCAAAATGGGTATTGGATGTGTGGAAAAATTCATTGAAGGATTTAGATCTTTCTAATAATTTTCTTACTGGTTTAGAGAAACTTCCATGGCAAACGCTACAATTTATTGACCTGCAAATTTTCAAATACAATTTTTTATTTTTTCTATTTTGTTATCTTTAATAAAAAAATATATTTTTATCTTTTTTTTTTTAAGATGTACCTAAATTAGATGCACTTAAAATGTAAAATATTTATATAAAAAATAGATAAATTACAAATACACCTTCTGAAATTTACTTAAAATACACATTGCCTCTTATATTTCTAAAAATTATATCCCGCCCCCTGACGTTTTCATAACAAATGACAGTTTTTATCAATAAATCATCAAGTCAATTAATAGTTTTTAATGATGCTAGAAATATATTTGAATTAATAATTTAAGTAATTTTATTATTGTGAGAGTAGTTAAAAATTTCATTTTTCTAATTAATTCTGTTAAATAAAAAACTCTTAAAAGAGAATATTTGTAATTTTTCAAATTGTAGGAGGCAATCCATGTTTTAACTATACCTCAAAGGTGTGTTTGTAATTTACCCAATTTTTTTTTTATAAAAATGTATACTAAATTTTTAGAAAGAAGAAAAAAAAAATTCTTTTTTTCTTCCACAAATCTAAAAAGATCCAAACACAGACTTAATGAAAAAGAAACAATGACTTATAAATCTTTTTCTAATATATATATAGAGAAAGAATTACTTCTTTTCAGTCTGACTATGGATCAAAGAGAACAATCCAAGCAACATATTTTACTCTTTAAGTTCCACCTCAGCATTTTTTTTGTAAATCAAATATTTAAATTTTGTATACCCATTACTATTGAATCAAATCTAATATTGACTTTGTAAATAAGTGGACAAAATATAAACAATTATATTACAAAAAAATAAAAAATAAAAATACCAAGACGACGACCATTTAGTACCCAGACAAGACATCCAAAGCTCGGGACACACAAACGGGAGTGCTCATATATATATATACACATATATACTCCCTTCTACCTTCAAACTAGTGATCTAACTTCAAAGAGTTGCATAAGTAAGCCTAGGCTAGTAAGTGCAAACAAAGATATGAACATAGTTACACAATGGTTGTTTTTCAGCATTCAATAGTTGAATCTATTCCATCCTGAAATCACTGCCTGAACAATGTACAAACTACAAGAAGCCACTAAACCCATGAGCAGACCATTTTATCAAAATGAGCAAAAATCAACAAGCATTTTGGGTCATGCATGCTTTCTTGTCGGCAAAATGAACCAATAGCCCTTATGAGCTATCACGAGGAATTCCCAATAAATTCTGCATTCTCCAAGAATGATCTCACCTATCCAGAGTTGCACTTCAAATTTTTATTCTATTTCTTTCAGTATGCTCTCTCCTTCTTCAATCCTTTCCACAACACCTTAAAAACCAAAAAATGTAAAGAGAAATAAGTATAAAGGCCTCACTGTTATTTTACAAAAGGGCCTGTATAATGTGTTAGCAGGTATTTTAATATTATAATGTGTTATAGGTTTGATTTTCTTTTCTTTCCCTCCAAGTTTTCATTTCTTTGCCTAGTCAAGTCTTCGCCAAGTCAAGTCAAGTCAAGTCTCCCAAGGAAATTGCCCACCTATGTCCTTTCTTATTCTTATCCATCAAGTCTCCAAGTCTTCCGAGGAAATTGCCCACCAATTTCCTTTCCTTTTCTTATCCACCAAAAAAAACCCTCCAAGCTTTCTCTCATATATATATATTGAGCTATCTTCTTATCTTGGTGGGGTGAAGAAGTTTTGGTTGCTTTATTATGTCTTGTGTGAGATTATCAGGCAAATAAAAAAGGGTGTATGTGATAAAGCTTTGGGTTCAACCAATTGTGCAGTATTGGTGAACCATACGACTTAGTCGGGCTGTTGTATCCTAGGAGGGGACAAGTCAAGGTTTTTCTGTTGCACCGGTGTGAGGCTTTGCCTAACCACAGAGGGCTTGAATCTCCTTAAAGAGAGCAAATTTCCTGCGCCTTAGCCCTTATAATAGTTATTGTAACTTTTATTATTTGTATTTTCTGGTGTTTTATTTGTAATCAACACAAACAATTTTACGGAGATTCAAATAGAAAAAAGTCATGGAGCCAGTACTGGAGAAACCCAATGAGAATATCGACGATGTCAATAAGCCCTTCCGGTTCAAGGGAGCCCATTTCAAGAGATGGAAAGGCAAGGTGCTTTTCTACCTCAGTCTCCTCAAGGTGGCCTATATCCTAACTGAGAAAAATCCGAACAAAGTCCCCACTGAAGAGATGACCGATGAGGAGTTTGCTGCTCATCTTGAAAAAATTGAGAAACACAACACAGATGAGTATAAATGTCGATATTATCTTTTGAATTGTCTTTCAGATCAATTTTATGATTATTATGATACTACTTACACCACTGCCAAGAAAATTTGGAAAGCCTTGCAGAATAAATATGACATTGAAGAGGCAGGCGCTAAAAAATATGCTGCAAACTATTTTTTTCGCTATCAGATGATAGATGGAAAATCAGTGGTGGAGCAAGTTCAAGATTTTCAGATGCTAGTGGCTGAAGTTAGATCCGAAGGCATCAAAATTGGAGACAATCTTGTTGTAGCAGGTATTGTTGACAAACTACCATCATCTTGGAGGGAGTTCTAGAAGTCAATGCGCCACAAGCAAAAAGAGATGTCCTTGGAGACTCTAATCACACGGATTCGGGTGGAGGAGGAAGCACAAGGACAAGATGCACTTATGACACAAGAGCATTCCATTGCAAAGGTAAATTTAACTTTTGGAAATACTTTACCTAAAGGTCGATTTCATAAAAATAGTCACTTGAAGCCAGTTAAGAAAATCTAGAAAAATACTGGAAGGCCACAAAATAAAAATTACCCGAGGCAAAAGAAATGGAACCAAGAACCCCCTTCACAAGATCTGACAAATGTGACATGTTTTGTGTATGGCAAAAGTGGGTATATTGCTCGAACTTGCAAATTTCGGAAACAACAGTCTTGACCACAGGCTAATGTTACTGAGGAACCATTTGTGGCTATGATAACAGATATTTTTATGGTTCAATCTGTTGAAGGGTGGTGGGCAGACTCTAGTGCCAATAGGCATGTCTGCCATGATAAAGATTGGTTTAAAGATTTCACTCCTTTTAATGAGGAAAGGACTGTTATGCTTGGTGACTCCAGTTTAACCAAGGTGCTTGGGTGTGGGGATGTTGAGCTGAATTTTACCTCTGGACGTGTGCTTGTTTTAAAAGATGTGTTGTACACACCGTCCATGAGGAAAAATTTGATGTCGAGTTATTTGCTCAACAAAGTTGGTTTCAAGCAGACTATTGAATCTGACCAATATGTAATCACTAAAAAAGGCATATTTGTGGGGAAAGGGTATGCCTGTGATGGAATGTTTAAATTAAATGTTGAGAATAAGAAAGCACATGTTTCTGTTTACATGCTGTCTTCTATGAATTTTTGGCATGCTCGTCTGTGTCATATTAATAGCCGATATATGGGAGTCATGAGTAGTTTAGGATTAATTCCCAGACTAACAAATAAGTTTGGGAAATGTGAAGTTTGTAGTCAAGCAAAAATAACTAAAAGGCCTCATAAAAGTGTGGTAAGAAATACTGAATTGTTAGAATTAATTCACGCTGATTTATGTGAATTTGAAGGAATTTTAACACGTGGTGGAAATAGATATTTTATTAGTTTTATTGATGATTTTTCAAAATACACTTATGTATACATGTTGAAAAATAAAAGTGATGCTTTTGAAAAATTTAAAGAATTCCTTCTTGAAGTTGAAAATCAATTTAGTAAAAAGATTAAAAGATATAGAAGTGATAGAGGCCGGGAGTATGAATCTTTTGATTCAACTCGTTTGCTCAGTCTTTGGAATAATCCATGAAACTACTCCACCTTATTCACCTGCATCTAATGGTGTAGCAGAAAAGGAAAAATAGAACTTTAATTGATTTAACAAATGCTATGCTAATTGAAGTAGGTGCTCCTTCAAATTTGTGGAGAGAAGCAATTTTAAACTACATGTTATGTTATGAATAGAGTGCCACATAAAAAACGAAAGTTACACCTTTTGAGTTGTGGAAAGGGCATAAGCCAAATTTGAGATATTTGAGGGTTTGGGGTTGTCTAGCTTTGTTAGACTTGTGGACCCTAAAAGACCTAAATTAGGTGTGAAAGCTGCCACTTGTGCTTTTCTTGGATATGCAACAAATAGTACAGCCTTATAGATTTTTTTGATATTGAAAACAAAATAATTTTTGAATAAGGTGATGCAATTTTTTATGAAGAAAAATTTCCTTTTAAATCTAAAAATGGTGGGGGTCAAAATTATCAAGAAAATATTTTATCTGAAACCGATTCCTCTTCTCCTCTTTTACAAAACCAAGATACTATCGTTTTTGAACCTAGAAGGAGTAAAAGAGACAGATTAGAAAAAGATTTTGGCCCTGATTATCATGTTTTTAATGTAGAGGAAACTCTATTAACTTTGCAAGAAGCTTTGGCATCTCCTGACTCTGTTTTTTTGAATGAGGCTGTAAATGATGAGATGGAATCATTATTATCCAATAAAACTTGGGTATTAGTAGATTTACCACCAGGTTGTAAAACTATTGGCTGTAAATGGGTTTTGAGAAAAAAACTTAAACCGGATGGAACTATTGATAAATATAAAGCAAGGCTTGTTGCAAAAGGTTTTAAACAACAAGCAGATCTTGACTTTTTTGATACATTTTCTCCGGTTACTAGAGTTACATCCATTAGATTATTAATTGCAGTGGCTGTAATTCATGATCTAAAAATTCATCAAATGGATGTTAAAACAGCCTTTTTAAATGGAGACCTGGGTGAAGAAATCTATATGGATCAACCTGAGGGTTTTGTGGAACCCGATCAAGAAAGCAAAGTGTGCAAGCTATAGTTAAATCCCTATATGGCTTAAAACAGGCCCCTAAACAGTGGCATGAGAAATTTGATTCCTGCATGATTGAGAATGGCTATAAAACGAATGAATG